GCAGAGCTGGACCCCAAGGTTGAGGGGCTTTCACCCAGCCCCTAGAGCCTGGCACTTTGAACTTGGACTTAAAGCCTCCAAATTGTAAGAATAAAATTCTGTTTGTGAAGGCCATCCCATTTGTGGCATATTCTTGTCAGAGCAGCACTAGGTAACCAGAACAGAATTTGGTACCAAGAGAGTGGGGTGATGCTCTGACAGATACCTGAAATGTGGAAACAGGAGTGGAGTGCGTCCTTGACCTGAGACCCTGACAGAGAGACCCCAGCATAAAGCATGACAAACAGCAGGACTGATGGCAAGAGACTGGCATGAGAGACGGCAGGAGCAGAGCCCAGAGAACCAGCATGAGACAGCGACAGCCTTACCAGCCCACGGAGGAGAAAGCCAGGTGCCATTGGGTAGATGACTTCCTGGTGGAGTGGGTTGCCCTCGGGCATTAATTGGTAGAGAAGGCCAGCATAAAATGGAGTAGCAGGTTGGCCGGCCTATGGAGCAAGAAAGCTAAATGTCTTTTGGGCAGAGAGATTTCTGACCAACTGGGTTGCCCTCGGGCATTAATTGGCAGAAGCAGAGAGACCAAGGAAATGAAAGCAGAGCTGCCTCAGCCTTAAGGGTAGGATCATGGCCTATCGGGGTGGAATGACCACAGCCCCCTAGTAGGTTTCAAAGAGCCAGGCCTTCACCAACTTTTTCTGGAGTGTGGGGCTGCTCGTTCATGTGAGCCACTGGGATGGAGCCATAGCCCTTGCCCAAGAGTGAGGGGGCGGGGCTGCCATGCCCAAGAGGGAGAGGAACGGGCCGCCAGGCCAAGGAGGTGAGGTCACCACTTAGAGGATCTAGGGGACTGGAGCCACCCAGTGGAGGAGGCCTGTACAGATACCACCCATTGAAGATCTGTATAGGTGTCAAGTTGACAAGGGGTGGAATTGTGATGGTTATGTTTGTGTTCAGCTTGGCTGGGCAGCTGTGGTAGTTATTCCCCATGATGAGACTGGCAATCAACTCCATGGTGGGATCTACCACAAGCAGCTGAGTAGCTGCCTTTGGGATGTGGTCTGCT